GCTACCGGTACCGGACCGGCCTTGATGATCTGTTGTCGCAGCTAGAGAGTTCATTAGACCTTGAAAGTTTCCATTATCATTATCTCCAAAGTCGTTAACGACCACACTTGAAGAAGATGAAGAAGTTAACCCTCTAAACATAGCAGAGGGATCGTTGTTATCAGCATTGGTGAAAAGAGAAGGAACACTTGTTTGATCAGAGTTCTTGGTGTTGTCTTGAAAGTATCCGAGGTTGAACATGTTGTTGTTGTTGTTGTTGTTGTTGTTGTTGATGTTATCACCGAGGTTGATCAGACCGTGCTGGTTCATGAGAGTCTGATCGTTTTGAGACAAGAATCCTTGGTTCGATGGGCATTGCATGAGAAAGTTGGTGGGACCGGGAGTAGGGTTTGTGGACTGAGGAACGAAGGCTTCAAACTTTTCGGTAGATGAACGGTTCAGATTGTAACCTGCAGCTAGAGGGGTGAAACTAGTATTTGAGTTGTTACCAAAATGGTTGTGAGAGAGAGCAGAGGCAGCACCGCCGTAAAAGCCAGATCTTCCACCACCAGCTGCTGCTGCCATTGCCGTGAAGCTCACGGTAGGGTTTCTTGATGATTCCTGTATTAATGCATCACAGAACGCCCTGTGCGTAATGTAACTGTCTCTCCTGCAATAACACCAAAAAAATGTAATTAAAACGGAGACATTATTATAATATATCTAAGTCTACGTACCATTAAAAAGAAAGAAAAAATTACCAAAATCAACATAATAAAAAGGAAATATAAAACCCTAAAATGTAAAGTGTTCATCAACCACTCCTACTATATCACGCTGACCATAACATTGATAAATTAAACAATGAAACCAACCACTCTTATACATAAAGCACCTATATATAATCTAATTAATTTATATTATGGAGACATAAAAAAGGAAGGAAAAATACGGAGAGGCCCACAAGAAGAGGAGTTACATGGAAAGAGGAACCTGCAAAGGTGAAGAAGAAGAAAACAAAAATGGGAATGCATGAAAACAAATCCAACTCACATGTGACCAAATTTAGCATCTTTTATTTTTTCTCCTATCTCCTTCACTGTCTTCCTCACTTACTCTATTCATCAGCAACCAAACAAATAGATTGATGGATCCTATGTGTATACATGCATATATGCTCATGTCCCTATGTAGAAAATATGATGTTCCGTGACCAATATAGATGATGATATCTATATTCATAGATTTCATTCACATGTTCATATACATATATAGAGGGTACCACACTCATGCACTATACAGCTTACATAATCATTGGTTAAAAGATTTTACAGTTCACTGACCGACATGTTTTTAACTGGAATCTCAAGCAGATGTACTAATTATCATAAAAATCTAGAGCCGACATGTAAAATTCGCAGTAAAAATGCTTTCAATTTCGAATAACAGACTAATAACCGCTATATATTATAGCATATACGAAATAACCAGCATTTTTTATGTTTATTATCATATGTTCTTGTCACATTATAATCTCCTTTCATATTTTTATTACTATCATATGTATTTCTTGTTTGATATTATTTGAATGGAAATTACCAAAAGAAGTTGAAGAATGGAACCAAGAAAGACGATACATAATATATAGTTTACCTAGAGAAGATGGTACCACAGTCACATCGATACTCTTTGGTTCCACAAGTCTTAGAGTGAGCTTTCCAATCAGATTGAACAGCGTAACGCTTAGAGCATTTCTCGCATTTAAACTTCTTCTCACCGTGCTTCCGGTAATAATGCTTCTTGATTCCGGTGAGGTCTCCGAGAGCACGTGACGGATCATGGTGGACGCACGTGGGCTCCGGACACAGATACACCTTCCTCCTGACCACCTCTTGTTTAGACTTTTGTTTCAGCTTCCATGGAAGGTTGTGTCCTCTCCGGTGAAGCTGTAGATTCTGTTCTCTTTGAAACCCTTTGTTGCATACTTCACATAGGAATCTGTTCGTCGCCATTATCGTCTTTGGAGATAACGCTATCACTTCAGCATCTGGATCTGTTAATTTAAAAAAAAAAATATAGACACAATTATATATATATATATATATAAACAAATTGAATAGACTAATCTTCTAGTAAAAAATGTTGAATAGAGGGCACAAGCAATTCCAAATAACTAATATACAATCTAATCAGATGAAATGATGATAATTCACTAATATACAATCTTTATGTCTCTTATTTCTTTTTTATTACCTCTTAAACTGAAAATTCTTCACTTATTAAATTTTGTTTTTTGGAATTTGGAACACTCACGTATAATATATGTGTATGTATAACAACATATATAAAGAAGATTTACTTGGGTTTCCTGGTTGGTTTCTTCGTTTCTTAGGTGGTGGTAGTGGAGCAACGGAGTTGGGTTGTTGAGTCATGGTCATGGCCGTCTCTTCAGGGTTAAAGTTGTTAGCTCCGGTGGCGGCGCTGGCGAGGAGGAAAGACTGAGTGGAGGATGAGGAAACTGAGTTGTTGTATGATGAAGACATCTTCTCAGGGTCTTGCTTTTGCTAAATCTACAAAGATCCATAAATAAAATAAATTTTAAAAATGACAGAGAGAAGAAAGAAATGAAATATGATTCACAAGAAAACGAAAGCAAAGAATTAGAAGAACAGGAAGAAGCCATAGAGATTGATGACATGATAAAGAGAAAAAAAAATCACTAGAAGACATTTACGAGAACAAAGAGAACATGTATAAATCCAAAGAGTTAGATTAAATTTGTAGTTTTTGAAAGAAGACATACTATAAGTTGTTTTTTTATTGTACCAAGTCTTCAGATGCAGAGAAAGAAACCAAGAAGAAAAAGGTCAACAAAAAGCTAAAACTCAGAGACATAGAAAGAAACCAAGTAGATGATGATGATAATATTAGAGGATGAAGAAGAAGAAGCCGTATGCAAATATATATATAATAAATATACAAATACACACACCTCAAAAAAACCCTATCTTTCTTCCTTTCTCTCTCTTTCTCTCCTTCTTTTGCTCTGCTCTTTTAATAATTGAGACTGACTCTTCTAATATCTCAAACTATATAGCTACATTTTTATCTCCTTTTTTATAATACAGAAAAAACTATTTTAAAAAAATCTAATTAAGTTTTTATATGTTTCTACTTCATAACAACTTGTAATTATAGTGAACTATGTTTCAGTCATCCCATTATAAAGTTACTTGTGGTTAATTAACCATAGTATAAATTTTAAACGATAAAAAGTACACTCCTCATCATTAAATTTGAGAAATTATTTTCAACTATTACTATAATCTTTTGTAGCAAATATACTTTTTAATATTATTGCTAAAGCATCGTAAAATCTATTTGTTAATTAAACTCGTTTTTATATTGCAGTACAAAATTACAATAAAGCAAATCTTGAAATAGTGTAGACAGCGAGTTAGAAAATTTGGTTAATTATTATATTTTAACCTAAAAAGAGAAAGGAGGATTACCGTTTAGGTGTCATTGTAGAACTGTGAAATGTGGGCACATGCAAGTGTGGTCGGGGGGCCACCTCAGAGTCTTTCTCGTGTCTCTCTGATGGCTTTAAGACAAAAAAATTTCTCTTCCTCTTCATTTACCTCATGATTTTTGTCAAAAAGATAACCAAAGCGTTAACACTACTTTTACCTCAAATATATTCAGCATGAGAGAATACAAGAAAACATTATATTGCTAACTTTGTCAGTCATATTATTTGATGTTAAAATTTATAGAAACATTAACCTACGTACATAGTACAACTTAACATAATAATTTATTAAACCATGTTAATTATCTCGTGTATTTGTAATGTTTCACACTATATATGTGATCAAATTTATGAAAATAATAGTAACTGACAGTGTAATTAATGAAAAAGTAATAGTTAAAATAAAAGTATTTTTTACTAGTTAAAATATAAAATAATATAATATTTCATCATAACTTATATCTTGATGTTACTGTTTAGAGATAATGAGAACAAAACAAAACAGTTGACCATAAAAAAAGATTTTTTAAAAAACCATTGAAAAGTATTATCATTTAAAACAACTAAGATCAATTGTGCATGCATATATACTCCCATTTTAATGATATTAAAGAGTATTAACTCAATTAATAACATTTATGACTTTTCACCAAAAGAGAAAATTATATTTTATTAGTTACAACTATATATTTTTCTATAAAATTTATAATATTTATTAAACCTTTTAAATAACTATGTTATTTGACATATGAAATAACCATTGCACATTAGTATATCATAATTAAACTCTTATGCACGTGTGTTCAAGTATATAATCAATGTTATGTATTAACTCACAGACTGTATTTTTTACTCTACTGAAAAGGCAAAAACAATTTGATATGATTACAAATATAATAAATATTTATAACTAATATATTGCAGTTTTTTGTGCCAATTAGGCAATTCGTTTTATATATGCATTTGTTTTTTTCCTTGTAATTTTTAAGACGCCACTTGTTGCAAAGACATATGAGTCTTCGTGGACCAAAACGTGAAACGGACATTTGGGGCTCCGTGAATTATCCACACGCACGTCTTACCACCACTGTTTTAGTCATGACAATCACACGCTATCGATGCGCGTTAAGCTCTATATGAATTAGCTTTACAACTCAGCTTCTTGTTGTTTTGTGGTAATAAAACAGGCTTAGTGACAATTTTAGTCTTAAAATCATTAATGTAATTAAACTAATAGATTTAGAAGCTTAAAAAATCTTATATAAGCATCAGTGACCGTTTAGTCTGAAAATCATACATCCGATTAAACTTATTGAGATTTAATTAATTTTTGAGTGTAACAGAAGCATCATACTGAAGATTTTACCTAAAAATAGTTAACTAGACTAAGTTAATAGATATTTAAAGGATGATTGAATCTAACTTAAGCATTACAGTGACCATTAAGTCTAAAATTCATTCATTCAATTATATCATTTGAGATTTAAACGCTTACTGTAGAATTAATGACGAGTTTCAACTATTATATGAAATAAAAAAAATTACAATCTTGTAACAATTTTTTTCATCCATTGCAAATAAAATCCCATAGATTTGTTCTTTCTTCAAAAGGTTGAATTTTAAAATTAACTAATCTGATAAACCTTAAGACACCTCACCGTAGATAGTTTTACAGATACTATTTTTGTCATTCCCATGTAGCAGAGATCATGGAATTGGCAACACCAGATTGCTCCAAGGTTAAGTTAGATTCATACTCCAACGTCTTTAATTCACCTGGAATCGCCTGTGTTAGCTTCAGTGGCTTCTTCCTCTCTGCTTCCTCAAGCTGAGAGTAGCAGAAAGACCAGAGAAGCTACAATGGAGACAATAACAACAAGATCTTAGAAAATCACAGACAAACAAACAAAAAAACATAAGAATCAATGTCGTTTCTTAGGATTTGCAGACCTGAACTGGGTCGGTTTTGAGAAAAATCCTCTGAAGTCTTTGTCCGTTGGGTAAACGGATCCCAACTCTGCATTGAACACTGCGGTCACTTCCCTTTGGTTCTTCAGGCAGAGGTGGGAATGTTGGAAGCACAGTGGCTGTAACAGCTACTTCTTCAGAGGTTGTTGGTGATTTATCATCTGAAGACTCTTTCATGCCGTTATTTTCCAAGGAAGCAGCCAATGCTCGTTGCAGTTCTTCTTCTTCTTCATCTTTGGCAACATAAGGAATAAAGTCAGATTAGAAAAAAGATCAAATCACTCTGAAGATGCGCAAAAGTTTTTAAAGCTAAACCTTTGGGTTTGGAGTGAGGAGTCAATGCGAAGTTGCCTCTTGAACGTTTCTTTGAGAGAGAAGCAAAGTGTTCGGCAGGACCACCGTCCAAGAACGGCACTAAATCCTCTAACAAAGTCTCTGGTTGAACCATTCCAGACCACATTCTCATCTTTTGACCAGTTGTAGGGTCAATGACAAGAATCACAGGAATGGATTCTAGCTTGTAGTATGTGCAAACCTTCCTTCCTTCCGTGGTATCATCATTGACCTACCAGAAAAAAGCAGAGCAGTTTTAACTAGTTCTGTACAGATAGTTTCGGAAGTTCAAAGAGGGGAGTTTTATATAGACTATTATTACCTGCCAGAAGATGAAGTTGGCTTTGATAGTCTGAGAAACAGCTTCATTTGCCCAAGTATCTCTATTTAGCTTTGAGAAATAAACACAAAAGAGAGAGGATGTGAGTGACTGATATAATAAAAAGATTCAGTTTCATATATTCTATAAAATGGAAATTTAGAAGGTAACCAACCATATGAGAGCTGAACTCAGTGGTGGATTGAAGGTTAACCAGAAGCCATTTATCCTGGGAAGAAGACGTAGTTTTTGCCTGAACAAACAATCATACAGGGAGATTTAGAGCAAGGAAGCAGATAGGCAAATAGTAAAAAAGAAAGCAAGAAACTTTGTAGAGAACCTGTTCAAAGGACCCATGTGTCATCAGATGAAAAGGAGGACGGTACAACGAGGCTAAGCTGTCCCGAGGAGCTGATGTTGTCTCTGATGCAGAAGCTGAGGCAGGGGCAGAGGAAGCAGCCTCATCTGGTTCCCAAACACCAGGGCTTTTTGGCTCTTCACTGAAGTTACGGAAAGCAATCAAAGAAGCTGGTTCACGCTGAGTGTGTCCCAGTCCCATTGCCCTAATCATAAACTCAAGCGAGATATAAGAGCTACATCACACATGTAATGTTAGAAAGAGTATATCATCAGTATAGAACTATAAACTACACAAACAGTTAATCTGAATTCTACAATTAGATGAAGAGCAGCATAAACATACAACTAGACCCAACCCATGAACCAAGAAGCTAAAAAAGTACAGCTCTAAAATTGAGAACCCTACATTTTTCAGTCGTTAAGATCCTAAGTAATGACAACCAGTGAAGGCGAAAAAAGAAGACTAACTCGTAATACATTGAGTCACCATAAAGAGTTTCCCTCACAACAGGCAAAGGAGCACGGACTTCATCTACATCGGTATACATCCTTTCATTTCCTGCGTCAGCAGCCGCCCTATACAACATAACACCAAACCATCAACTTTAACAAACCAAAGTAAACAATACTTTAAAATAAACGAATTATTCATAACATTAACATACCCCCAAGATTGTGCAGCCATGTAATCATCGGACGCTGGCTGAGTGTGTGTACCAGACGGAAGCATACCAACTTCGCCTCCAACGTAGAAAAGCTGAATAGCTTCATCAAGTTTCCAGCTTGTTGCCTTTAATAGCAAAGTTATACCATGTTAGTAGCTTTACACAAGTGAAGTGAAGAGGGCAAAACAAACTATTTGACAGCAAACAGCAACATTCAACTCATTCTCGGAACCAACCAAATGACCAATCAGTATAAAACAAATTAATATCTAGACAGAAACTATTGTGTGTTCCAAAAAAAAACAAAAAGAAACTATGAACTAAGCTAAAGTGAGTTACTTACAGGCCAGGTCATACAAAGTTAGAAACTTCAAAAGAAAAAATCAATTTAATCTCATTACACAAACCTTTAGTCACAGAACTAACTCAAGCTACTCTCTATTCCAGACATATAGATCTTGTTACACCAAAAAAAAGACAGATCAACCGAACATTACCAAAAAAAAAAGGAACACACTCTGCGACCAATCTAGGTTTCAACACCAATACCCATATAAAACCGAATCAATCACTTAAGCCACGGAAAAACTCAATTAATGTAAAAGCTCATTCACACCAAGTTGACTACAGCCACATGAAACAGACAAATTTAACAGTTTTTTTTTTTTGAGCAAACGGACAAAACCTCTAAGAACTGGCGAGCGGTTTCAGATGTCTGATCGACAGCAATCTCAAGGAAAGAAGTGACTAATCTCTGTTGGTCACTTGAAGAGAGCATTCCCTCCATAGCTTCTGTAAGTTGGACAAACCCTGAAGAAAATAAAAAGACGAGTTTTTTTTCGATTGATCCTGAGAAAATTAAGAAAAACCCATAATTTATAATACCAAGGAATCGTACCTTCCCTAGAAGAAGAGGATTAAATAAAGAAGAATGTGTAGTCGAATTCCTGCGGGAGGAGAAGAAGGATTGAAATTTGAGCTTTACTTCTAAAAATATTTACAGGCAAAAATATATTTATGTGTGTATTTTTTTTTTTTTCTTTGGACAACTTATTTATGTGTGTATATATTACACGAAATTTGGGACGGTTTTTGCCGGTAACCGGGGTTATTTTTGACATTTCTGAACCCATACGCATGTTAGAAATTGGGCCAATCATTAAATGTAATGTATAAGATAATCATATGAGATGTGTTGAATCATTATCTTATTGTATACTTAAAGGTATCTTTCTCATTAGAAACACACACAAAATTTTCCAAAGTCTTCTTTATGAGTGTTATATAATTTTATATTTAAATTTGAATTTATAATAATAAAGTTATATTTGTATTATTTAGCATGGATAACCACACAATACTCTTACCAATAATGATTCTCTAAAATATTGTAAACTATTTAAAAAGTTCGAGTTGTTATATCTATACTATTATTTGCGAAGTGATTTTTCGCAACGGAGCACTCACGTTAAAAGTTGGAGTGGTTAATATCTATTTTACCCTTAATGAAATTTTTATATATAATTAATTTATAATTAAAAACAAAATTTAAATATAAATTTAGATAAGTACAGTATGTTATTATCTTAGATAATAAAGAATAACTAATATAATAAGTTTATAAAAGAAAACAAGATAACTCTTATATATGTTATTATTATCTGAATATAATATTGTAACAACATGATAATGCTTATAGATCTTAATTTTATATAAAATTGATTTTGGCTTTTAAAAATAATATCATTATATTATAAAATTTAAGAATTAAAATATAAAATCGAGTTTAATTAAATATTAATCAAAAAAACATTTGTATAAAGATACTTTAAATTATATAATTAAATATTAGGTATTAAAAATTGGAACGGTTCAAGTTAATGATACCTTTAATGAAATTTATATATTTATATATAAATTAGTTAAAACAAAATTTTAATTTATATGTTATTATATTAGTTAATTTATTATAAATTGATAGGATAATTATCAACATTCATGCATATTTAAAACATAAGATATCTTATAAAATATTATACAATTATCTGAAAATAATATTTTTATTGTGAAAAATAAAAATATAAGTTATAAAACAATTTAAAATTAAATATTAAGAAAAAAATATAAATATATTTTCAAAAATATTTTATTATGTGGATGTTTTTCAACACTATAATAAGCATATAGATTTTGATGAAAAAATCATATAAAAATATTTTAATGTTGGATTTAGGTTTTTTAAAACTATAGAAAATAACTTATAATATTATTTTAGAATTCATAAAATAAAAAAATAATAAATATTCGTAAGAAAATTATGCCCGCATATGCGGGCACAACACCTAGTCTATACTATTATTTGCGAAGTGATTTTTCGCAACGCAGCTCTCACGTTAAAAGTTTGAGTGGCTAATATCCATTATACCCTTAATGAAATTTTTATATATAACTAATTTTATAATTAAAAACGAAATTTAAAAAATAAAATTAGATTAGTATGTTATTATCTTAGATAACTTAGAAAAATTGATATAATAAGTTTAAAAAAAAAAATCAAAAATAAGATAATTCTTATATATGTTATTATCATCTGAATATAATATTGTAACAACCTGGTAATGCTTATATATCTAAATTTTATATATAATTGATTTTAGCTTTTGAAAATAATATCATTTTATTATAAAATTTAAAAATTAAAATTTAAAAATCAATTTTAATTAAATATTAATCAAACAAAAACATATTAGATATTAAAAATTGGAACGGTTGAAGTTAATGATACCTTTAATGAAATTTATATATTTATATATAAATTAGTTAAAAGCGAATTTTATGTTAGTGATAGAAATTTATAAGTTGTTATATCAGTTAATTTATTATAAATTAATAGGATAATTATCCACATTCATGCATATTTAAAACATAAGATATCTTAGAGAATATTATACATTGGAAATAATATTTTTTATTATGAAAAATAAAAATTTAATTATAAAACAATTTAAAATTAAATAATAAGGAAAAATATAAATATATTTTCAAAATATTTTATTATGTGGATGTTTTTCAACACTATAATAAGCATATAGATTTTGATGAAAATTCATATAAAAATATTTAGATAATTTATTATAAATTAATAGGATAATTATCCAAATTCATGCATATTTAAAACATAAGATATCTTAGAGAATACTATACAGTTATCTGGAAATAATATTTGTTATCATGAAAAATAAAAATTTAGTTATAAAACAATTTAATATTAAATATTAAGGAAAAATATAAATATATTTTCAAAATATTTTATTATGTGGATGTTTTTCAACACTATAATAAGCATATAGATTTTGATGAAAATTCATATAAAAATATTTTAATGTTTGATTTAGGTTTTTTAAAACTATAAAAATAACTTATAATATTATTTTAAAATTAATAAAATAATAAATAATAAATATTCATAAGAAAATTATGTCCGCATATGCGGGCACAACACCTAGTTTGAGCAATATACAAAATTATAAGAATAAAAAGTGAAATCTGTTAATTGGCTGCAAACCACAATAATCAACTTCTTTTTGTGTGTTTGATATCAAATGTGAAAACTTTTTTTTTTTGCTTAATTTTATCCAAACAATACTATCACTAAATTCACTACTAAAGAAAAATAGTGTTATCTTCTGTGTGTCCTGCTCTAAGAGTATCAATGAACAAAAACACTTAGGCTGGTTTTGATCTCTCACGTGGTGGAATCCGTAACCATGACTTCATTGACTCATACACCGTGAATCCAATTGCAACAGATGGAACAATCTAACAACACAAAGAACAATCAACGAGTCATGAAAATGGAAAATGGAAACTCCAGATTGAGATTTCTTTGGAGTGATTCTCTCAAAAACACTTTTAAATCGGTAATTTACCTTAATGTAGTTGATGCTTAAACCAGCAAACAACTGTCTCCAACCCTGAGTTCGAACAATCGTGTTAAGCCCATCAAATGTGTTCTTGTAACGTTTGTTGTTGCTGCCATCACTCGTCATAGGCTGCAGATTCTCTACCTGTTGTCACACGAGACCAGATGTGTTCTGAGTTTTGAAAAATGATATCATGTTTTAATCTTGTTTTAATTTTTGTTTTTACCTGCATTTGTCTCCTTACAACATCCAATGGGTACGTGAAGGTCTGGCCAAACAAACCAGCTAAAGCTCCACAAGGTAAATGCATTTTAACAGAGTTTTGATGCTCTTCAGGAACATGTCTTTTCAATTCCTCATAAATGTAGAACTTAAGCCCCGCGTATGGAAGTATGCCAATCAGCGTTGGACCTGTGAAAACACACAGGAAAGCCCCAAACCTTTATAATCATCTCCAAATCCAAATCAAGAAAACTATTACAGTGCATAAAGAAAGGGTTTAAGAGTAAGTTTATTGAACTAATGGTATTGCTTTGATCCCAACGGTTTCAGACTATAATGAAATGACAATGACTTCCACTGTCAATTTGGAATACATTTTAAACATTAATGCAAGCAAATTTTGCGAGCTTTTACCTATGCCCCGATATAGGCCACGTGGTCCCGCTTCTTTATAAGCCATTGTAAGCACCTCTTTTATCCCTGAATATGTATGTTGACGGTAAAATCCATTGGCACCACCTCGGAAACTCTGCCTTGCGTCAGAAACCTTAAACGCAATAATAACAGAAACTATAACTAAGACATTCTTCATTCTCAGTTGAACAATTACAAAAGAACAACGAAGGCAAGATATGTATTCAAGTCCACGCTACCTGGTAAGCTAGCTTAGTACGAGCCAAATCAAGAGGATACGTGCACAAAACCGCTGTCCCACCCGCAGCTGAACCAGCCACAAGATCAACAACGGGACCAGACCCCAACGGGAGATTATTCTCCAAAATCCAGTCACGATAAACTTCATACGTCATGTAATGAAGAGCTGCATAAGGGATAATCCGAATAACACTCGCCCCGTTTCCTCTGAAAGAGTTACGCACAACACAAAGATTCAGTAAAGCATCTGAACATAAAAGAGTTAAAAAAAAACTGAAAAACCACTAGCTACTTACTTATAGAATCCGAGAGGACCGTCGCATTGTAACACCTTCTTTAGTGACTGGGACACACCAAGGGTCCTAAAATCGTTTGTTCTAGTCTGGTATTGAAAGCAGAGATATATAATCATTAGACGGTTAAAACTCTTTCCTAAAATGTTGAAGAACAGCAAAGCAGATATCACCATACGATTAAGAAACATCATAAAAACAAGATTACTCACAAAAACCAATACTCAGATAAAGTCTAAACACAATCAGAGGTTCACATCAAAACAGATGAAACCTCAATACAGAGCCATTGAAACAGAGTAAGACCAACAAAGTCCAAAACTTTTTCACCTGCAATAGAATCTTAATCCTTTCCAAAGGAGCGACAGCAGTTTTAGCAACAGCCCCAGCAGCTCCACCAGCGATTAGGGTTTTAGCAAGAACAGGTAATGTATCCACAAGGCTCATCACATCAGCCGAGAGTGTGGTGGAGCCTTGTGACGAACCCATCTCTCAATATATTACTATTATCTTCCTTGAGATACAGAACAGCCTTATCCCATCTAAATCTAGGGTTTATAGATCTCTTGTGTGAAAAACTCAAACTTTTAAATCTCAGAAACGAAGAATAGGTAAAACTCGGAAACAGATTCTCCTCCTCTGTTACAGCTATATTCATCAACAGCACTAAATAAACACAGACTCTGAAAAAAATGATCAATTCATTCAGATTCAGATCGAGAATCAATTGAGTAATGATCAATCTCCTTCAGATCCAAACGAATCAATCAATGGAGGAAAGTCGATGTAAGAAGATGATAACGAAGAAGATTCAGAGCGTCGCCGTGAATTTCGGAGAGAAGATTTAGAGAAGACGAAAGTTTTTTTTTTTTTTTGATTCAGAACTTTTAGTCTCTGCTCTGTTTTTGTTTGTTTACTCGTTGCCTTGGTCGCGCATTTTTTTTTGGAAGTCTTTTGAAGAAACAGAGAGGTACCTTTGATTGCATGTGATTCGGTGCACTGAAAATGTGGTGGACCTATCTATTATCCACGGCCCATTTATTAGTCAGCCCATAATCATGAGAATCATACCCATAAGGCCCAATTTAAACTTTAAATCGGATAGTTCATTCAATGTCCAAAAGAATCCTCGGCTTGCCGCAGAGGTCAAGTATCTCCCCAACTGTGAAACTTTTTTTTCTTCTGGTGATAAATATATACTTTCATTTTGTAAAAATATGGGTATATTATCGTCCAATCAATCCATCACATGGGTTTCTCTTTTGCATAATGTTCTATCAGTGATTTCTGGAGTTTGTTTCGACTATATCGTTTTTTGTTGTAAATCATTTTTTTTTTTTTTGTTTAACCTTGGGGTATCTCAGGCCCATGGAGAGGCCTAGACTAATCCCCAAAGGGGTGGTGCAGCCCACGGATGGACCCTCACTCCGGGTATTCAAATGGGCCGTAAGATAGGTCCATATCCGCGTGACCACAAGATAAGATGTAGTGGGGTGCCTTCGAACCCGGGTTACTTAGCAAATCCCAAAGTTCGCCTACTACTAGACCACCATCTTGTGGTTAATCATTAATATCAAAAGAAAACATATGTGTAACTTTAAATCTAAAGAAAATCTTTAATCCTTCTCTACAAATTAAAATAAAAAAGTTTGAAATACCGCAATCATAAATGTCACTCTTTAATCTTAAAAGCTTTATACGTTACATAACTTTTGTTAAGGCCTTTGAATTTATTTATTACTAGGATAAAGTCCACTTACTTCATCAATTATATTTAAAAAAAAAATCATTTTGTAACAATATATCAAACAATTTAATATTGTAGATAAATACATGGTAAATCATAAATATAACAATAAAATAAATATCCCATCCCCAAATTAGTAATTTCCACCTCTTCTTCTTATTTGCACTAAATTTCCCAAATAAATACCTCAGAAAGAGTATTATAAAAAAAAATCATTTTGTAACAATATATCAAACAATTTAATATTCTAGATACATACATGGTAAATCATAAATATAACAATAAATAAATATCCCAGCCCCAAAATGGTCATTTGCACCTCTCCTTCTTATTTTAATAAAATTTCCCAAATAAATACCTCAGAAGAAGTATTATAGTTTTGTCTGTGTCCGAAAACGAAATCAAATTGCTCTCCAAAGGGAAAAGCAAAAAAAAAAGCCGATCTTGGCTTTTCTCTTCTCTAACCAAGTCTTCACCGCCGGCGTTTATTCATTCAGATGGAGGGAATTCAGAATCCTATTCACCGCACTGTGGAAGAGGTGTTTAGCGACTTTAAGGGTCGTAGAGCTGGTATCCTCAAGGCTCTCACCACAGGTTCACTTCCCCCATCTCTGTTTCATTTGTCCGAATCTAAAAAGCTAATCTCTTTTCTCAGAGATTTGTAATAGATTCGTAAGTTTTTATCTTTTTTGATGTGATTTGATGATTTCTAGGTTTATTCATACTTTTGTTTTGTGTGTGGTTTCTTTTTTTTGCAGATGGGCAGAAGTTTTACCTTCAGTGTGACCCTGGTGAGTTTACTTCCTTACCCTTATTGTATTCTCTGTTTGGTTTCAAAAAGTTTGTGTCTTTGAAGTAAGTTGAGAATAGATGTTTCAGTGTAAGAATCACTCTTCAATTAGGGAAAACTTTGTGATGGTCAATGCATGTTTTGCTTCATAAGTTTGTTCACTAGTTCTGTCTCTCTATTTTTTTGGTTTTCTTTTCTCTATTTGGGATGGTAAATTCATTTTTTTTTCCCAAAAAGTTCTGTCTTTTAAGTTTGTTAAACAGATTGGATACTCCAAATGTCTGTGAATTTCTGCATTTTTACTGCTCTGCTTTGGTTTTCTTTTCTTATTAGGGTAATTCTGTTTTTTTTTTTTTTGTTTCTACTTGTGCAGAGAAAGAAAACTTGTGTCTTTATGGACTTCCAAATGAGACATGGGAGGTTAACCTTCCTGTCGACGAGGTCCCTCCTGAGCTTCCTGAACCAGCTTTAGGCATCAACTTTGCAAGGAACGGAATGCCTGAAAAAGACTGGATTACTTTGGTTGCTGTTCACAGTGACTCATGGCTCATCTCTGTTGCCTTTTACTTTGGTGCCCGTTTCGGGTTTGGTAAAAACGAGAGGTTAAGCTTCCTTCTCTTCTCAGTACTCTTCTATGTTCTTGTACACATGTTTGGTAGAGCTACTACAATGACCATTGTCGTGTCTGCAATCTTCTAGCATCCTAGTTTTTGTTGCTACTGCTAATAGTAACAATCTCTTGTACACCTCTAAGCTTAAGTTATCTTGTCTCTAGTGAAGTTATGCGAACCCACAAGTGTTGTGATTTGTGAATCAATTTTGTTGAGATGTATAAAATGCAAATTCATGTGAATCTCTAGTTCTTCTCTTGGAATCAAGTTTCCTATAAAGTCAAAGAACAGTGTTTTGTCTTATGCTACTATAGAGTCAGACAGTTTATACAAGTTGTCTTGCCTCTGAGCTTATTGGATTTGTTTCAGGAAGAGGCTCTTCCAGATGATTAATGAACTCCCAACCATTTTCGAGATTATAACTGGCAATGCAAAGCAATCCAAGGATCAATCTGCTAACCTCAACGGTAGCAGAAGCAAGTCTAGTGGTGTCAAGGTATATAATTAGTAGCTTCTTCTGTTTTCTCCATTATCCGAATCTATCTATCTCTGTTAACTCCCTCCTCATACAGCCACGTCAATCTGAGTCTCACACCAAGGCTTCAAAGATATCTCCACCACCAAGAGAAGATGATGAGAGCGGTGAAGATGAGGAAGATGATGAACAAGGTGCGGTTTGTGGTGCGTGTGGAGAAAACTATGATGACTTCTGGATATGTTGTGATGCTTGTGAGAAGTGGTTCCATGGGAAATGCGTGAAGATCACACCTGCCAAGGCTGAGCACATCAAACATTACAAGTGTCCGAGTTGCAGTACCAACAAGAAGATGAGAGCTTGATTGAAGGTGTGGTAATAACATTAGGGACTGTGAAAGAGGAGAAAGTTTTTCACAGTTGAGCAAAAAGGCAGAATAAGTGTTTAGTTATGAGGAGGAGAAGAAGAAACATAAGGCTTATGATTGTGTAGTCTTAATGGGATTGTTGAGACAGCTTTTGCAGTTAGTAATGTCTTTGTGCTTTTTTTATTTTATTTTGCTGTTAATGTTTAAATGCTATGACTAATTTGTCTTATGTTTCTGAGAAAATTCTGTCTTTAGTCTGTCAATTAGTTTTTTTTTTCCTCTTCTTAATTTGATAACAATTATTGAAACAAATAGTGATAAGATATGCTTGTAATTTTTTCAAATTTGATAGGGAATTACAACTGCAATATGCTATGATTTAAATTATTTTTTCATGATTATAGTTGTATCATTAGTGATAGAAAATGCATTGGTTCAAAACCATTGAAAATGTGTACTTCTTCTGTTTCATTATAAGTGTCACTCTACAGCTGTACACACGGATTGGAAAAACAAATAATTTTATATATTTTCTATATAAAAACACAATTACCATACACCTAACCATATTTTAACTAATAGAAAAATAAATTACATCTAAAAATAATAAATTTTGCATTGAAAACCGAAAACGACATTTATTTTGTAACGCAGAAAATTATCTACAACGACATTTAATATAAAACGGAGTGAGTATTATTTAGATACACAATGCAAACTTGTCTTTATGTATGGTTAGTAAAAACAAAATAGCCACCTCAAGTTTCAAATGGGCATAATCTAGGTCAATAAACACAATATTAGGTAAAGGCAAAAATAACTTAAATTACCCTGTCCCCCACAAAAGAAGGATTACACACAAAGGAATCCAACACTAAAATTGGGTTTCAAGATAGATTGACCAATAAAGAGATTTTAATCAATGGTTACCTAATCCCTGTTAATTCTTAATCGTCCATTGACCCATCTCATCTCCCTCTCTCTCTCCTCTGTTCCTTGTTATTAAAGCAATTGGTGATTCAGACCTCCAACTTTTATCCCTAGCAAGCCGATCTTGAAACCACAACATCTGCTTGTGGTTTCACCGGAATAAAACAAAACTTCTAAGCGGCTTTTATCGCCGCATTTTCAAATGACAACAACGTTTTTGAATATTAGCGGCTACCTTATCGTCTTCTTATTGTCGGTATTAGCAATATTGACTCCACATGTTGGAGCTCATGTTGCTGAATTCGACGATTACTGGACGCAACGTCAAAGCGATGCGTTGGAACAAACCTTGGCCTCTTACGTTCCTAATCCTCTTAACGTCACCGATCATTTGAACTACCATGCTGCTTTGTAAGTTTCTTTTTCTGTCTTTGTTGGTAAATTTTTTAACCTAACGTGTCACAGAAGTAACCTAATAAAACATTTTTTTTTGTCTTAACAGAGCAGTGGAGGCCACGGAATCAACCAACACCACAAGGAGAGAGCTTTCACAGATAAGAAACGGTCGGAAACTACGAAAGAGAAGAGGAGAATGCGTAGCTCACAACCCTATAGACAAATGCTGGAGATGCCACGGTGACTGGGAGCAGAACCGTAAGAAACTAGCGGATTGTGTGCTCGGATTCGGCAGGAGAACCACCGGAGGCAAAGACGGACCTTTCTACGTCGTCAACGACGCCTCCGATGACGATCTCATCAACCCTAAGCCAGGAACGTTGAGGCACGCGGTGACACGAGACGGACCGCTTTGGATCATATTCGGAAGCAGCATGATCATAAACCTGCAACAAGAGCTGATTATCACGAGCGATAAAACCATAGATGGACGTGGAGCTAGGGTTTACATCATGGAAGGTGCTGGATTAACGTTGCAGTTCGTGAACAATGTGATCATACACAATATTTATATCAAGCATGTGATTCCTAAGAGCGGTGGTTTGATTAGAGACTCTGAGAAGCATATTGGGCTTAGGACAGTGAGTGATGGTGATGGGATCAGTTTGTTTGGAGCAACTAATGTTTGGATTGATCATGTCTCGATGACAAAATGTTCAGATGGTATGATTGATGTGATTCTTGGCTCGACTGCTATAACTATTTCCAACAGCCATTTCACCGACCACACAGAGGTAAAAAAATAACTGTTTTTTTTTTTTTTGTGACGCTAGTTTATTCTAGACAGTGTTTTGAAACCCTATCCATATACCAAATCAGACAATTTTCCGAATATCATTAGATTGACCACGGGTGAACGAATTATTAAATTAAATAATTTTATTAAATAATGAGATATTATTAATTTTTTTAAACATAAAATAATAATTTGGATATGTATATATTTTATGTTTTAAAAAAAAAATATTTAGAAAATACTTAGTTTTAGTTTCTATATTTTTATTTTTATTTGACATACAAAATATAAGAAAATAGTTTATGTAATTATTTTTTTTTGTAACAAGCTAAAAGATTTAAGAGTTATGATATCTAATAAAAAAATATTAAAACGTAAAATTTTAAATAGTTTTTGTTTCCGCATAAGCTTTAGCCTGGAAATGAGAAATTTTGTTAGATCAAAGCACTATATAAGAAAAAAAGTAATACGTCTTTTAAAACCCTTCTTTGGATTTGGTTGTCTCACTGAACAGGTGATGCTATTTGGAGCAAATGACAAACACGTGATCGACAAGAAAATGCAAATAACAGTTGCGTTCAACCACTTTGGAAAGAGATTGGATCAAAGGATGCCTCGTTGCAGATTCGGAACAATCCATGTGGTGAACAATGACTACACACATTGGGAAATGTATGCAATTGGTGGAAACATGAACCCTACAATCATTAGCCAAGGCAATCGTTTTATTGCTCCTCCTAATGAACAAGCCAAACAGGTTACAAAGAGAGAGTACACACATTACGCTGATTGGAAAACTTGGAATTGGCAATCAGAAGGAGATTACTTTATAAATGGAGCTTATTTTGTACAATCTGGAAAACCAAATGCATGGAGCCCTAAACCGGTTAACCCTGTCCCAAGGAAGTTTGCGATCAGACCTCAACCGGGAACAATGGTCCGTAAACTCACCATGGACGCAGGAGTACTTGGCTGCAAGCCCGGTACAGCCTGCTAAATAAAACTACCATTTTTTCCCCTTCCAACAAACAAAGCTCATGTTTGTTAGTTGCTTGTTGTCCAAGAAAAGAGAGAAAGGAGAAAGAAAACAAAAGGAGGTTTTTTCTATGAGTCATATTCTTTATTCTTATTAGAATTCAGGTTCATTTTAATGTGAATGAAAATGAGAAAATCAAAATACCTTAGATATCTATATACAATCTCCCTCTAATTTTTATTAGATCTCTTGTCTTGTCTCATGGGTTGATGCTTCAAAAAGGAGATACATTTGTTATTCATTGTTTGCTTGGTGTGTCATTAGGTTTTTGACGTTGTTTATGAAAAATTACAATGAAATGAAACCCAAATTCTATATCACCTATCCTTCATGCAATGATGCAATACATATCTCCGAGCAAAAGAATTGTCACAGTGAGACTAAAGAAACATCAAACTGATAGAAGTGCACACTTCTCTCTGGTTACAAACTGCAAGATCTCAGTAATGTCTGCTCATAGCTCACTAGAAGAAGAAACAACAATAATATCAATTTATAAATAGAGATTGGACTCTAGAAATAACAAACATGATATCCAATATATTCAGTGGAAAAAACAGCATCATATGATTTTGTTTCAAGATCACATGTATCATCAGCGTTCTACCAAAATTTTGAGTAAAAAACAGAAACTTCTTCTTCTTCTTCTTCTCCAAAAGTGCGAGTGGCAAAAACGGCAATGTCATACCAATATCAAACTGTAAAGAAATTAACTCCAGATCTAGGGAATACAGTTTGTTCCATGTCTTGTTGCATGAACTAAACAGCCATATCACTTGCTTGGACTTCTTCTTCAGGGACACACACAAGTGGTTCTCAAGGTTGCACATGAAAATGTGGTAAGGATCTACATTGGCAAATGGAGCTTCAAATATGACGTGAAAAGTTTCGCTGTGAAGAATCCAAACATATAACTTTTGGTTTCTTTGCATTGCGTGAACCAATGAAGTAGCCCCATCTACATAGACAGGATCATGGTAACTACTAATCCTAAGGTGCATAGTAAGACCAACCGCATCAGCGATCCGCATGGGCACGGATTCCAAGGTAAGTCTTTTTAAAACTCTTTTTTTTTTTTACTTAAAAAAAAAAATTAATAATCTAACCAATCGCGGGCTGCCACGTGGTGTGGGGCCCACAGAATAGTGATAAATTCATGATGAACTCGCCTCTTAATAACGACCCGAGTTCGTTGAAAAAGGGGGTCCACAAAATTAAAAAATATTTTTTTTATAGGTTTCCGTGTCATAAACCGCCGATGCGGATGGTCTAAGTGGTGTACCTCAAGTGTTAGTGCTAAAGTCAAAAACTTTGCATCAGGCCCGGCCCAGTTATATTAGTGACTTTGTGCCCAAAAATCTTTTTTTTTCCCAAAAAAAACTGCCTTTTTAGTCGGTACATTTTGTAATGTGTATTATATTTAGGGATCAGATTGTAATATTACGAGTTAAAGGTGGCGAAGACGAAACAGTTATCACTGTCTTTTGTCTCCGTCTCTGAGAGAAAGTGTAAAGGAAGCGCCTTTTTTTTCTTTCCTCCTTAACTCGCAGAGGAGAGACTAAAGACGAAACAGTGAAACAAAAAGAAAAGCGATGTCGCAACTCTTATCTTCTCCCCTGATGGCGGCAAGTTACAGTCCCTTTGCTACCCCTCGCTTTCTCTCTTCCTCTTCAGTATTCCTCGCCGTGAAACATCATGGAGTAGCTTCGAAACCGACGAAGAAGACGGTGAAGCTCTCGGTGAAGTCTCGCCAGACGGATTTCTTCGAGAAGCAGAGGTTTGGTGACTCGTCTTCTTCACAGAACGGTAAAGTTTACAACTTTAGGGTTTTAGCTTTGCTTAAATCTCGAAATTTTGAATCTTTACACCAAAAGGGATACTCTTAATCGTTAGAAATGGAGCTTGAGTGTGTGATGTTTACTTGGTTTCGATTTTGATAGGTGAAGGAGGGCCTGCTAGATTCTATGTGGGTCATTCGATTTATAAAGGGAAAGCTGCGTTACAAGTGGAGCCAAGAGCACCAGAGTTTGTGTCTTTAGATGTTAGTCTCTCTCTATCCCTAAAGATCAACTAGCCTCTCTTTAATAGTACAGATTGTGATTTGGATCTTGTTACTTATTTGTAGTCTGGAGCTTTCAAGCTGTCGAAAGATGGTTTTCTACTGCTTCAGTTTGCTCCTGCAGCTGGTGTAAGGCAATACGATTGGAGCAAGAAACAGGTTTCGTTTCATCTTGTAACTTCAGATACTCCCTTGAGCTGTGTATTCGTTAAAACTGTGCTTGGTATTGGTGTAAAATCAATGTATGATGAATCAATGTTTCAATGTTGCAGGTGTTCTCATTGTCGGTTTCAGAGATTGGAAGTCTAGTAAGCCTAGGACCAAGGGAGTCTTGTGAGTTCTTCCATGATCCTAACAAGGGGAAAAGGTAAACAATCATCACAGGAGGAATAGTATTGGATGTGTTCTTATCTTTGTTTGCTTGTGTATGTTGTATGTAGTGATGAGGGAAAGGTGAGGAAAGTGTTGAAAGTTGAGCCTCTCCCTGATGGTTCTGGCCACTTCTTCAACCTAAGTAAGTAAACATATTCTTTTCTTGTTTTTTTTTGAAGTTTAAAACTTGGTCTCTTATGGTTTTCGATCTTGGTCTATATAAACAGGTGTTCAGAACAAGCTTTTGAATGTTGATGAGAGCATTTACATACCAATCACCAGAGCAGAGTTTACTGTTCTTGTCTCTGCTTTCAATGTAAGATTCTGAAGTCTCTTTTTTCTTACATAACTTGTCTTTGTGCATATTAGCATCTTTACTAAACTCGTTTTTTTTCTTTCTGAAATGGCAAGTTCGTGTTGCCTTACCTCATAGGCTGGCACGCATTTGCAAACTCCATCAAACCAGAAGACTCAAACCGTACGAACAACTCTTCCCCCAACTATGGAGGAGATTATGAATGGAATAGATGATGTATCTAATGACCATAAGAGAATCTATATCAGAGATTATCCTATCTTTGTGTTTTGTTTGCTGGTAGAGCTCTTTGAAGAATGATCTTTGTTCGTAGCTAGCAGAATAGACTAAAAGTAGTGTTTTTTCTTTTACCAAAAAAAAAAACAAGATCTTTTGTTGTATTCATCTCAAAACATCAGTTTATTGATTGACTTGTCTTAAAAGAATCTCGGACTCCGGAGAGATTTGAAAAGCAAAACAGACCAGAACAGAACAGAACACAAAGTCAACTCTCTTTTGTATGGTTCTAGGTTCTGTTCGGTTAAACATACAATTGTTTATTGTTCACCCTAGCGGTTTATTCCGGTTTAGGAGCTGCTCGCTCTTCCAAAGGCCAAAAAGCAAAGCCGACAAACTTTAGAGTTATGTAAGAAGAGCGTAGCAAAGATCATTATTACTGCGTACTATATACGTAGTTTGTTCCAAATCATTCAACTTTTCCTTCTCTCTCATCGCAGCCACACAGATGATCGCTTGAAAACCTCTTCTCGCCGCCATTTTCGCCTCTCCCAACAACGAGATCTGTTTTCCACGGTATCCTTTTCATCTGATCATCAATGTTTATCAGCTTTTACTTTAATCTGAGCTGCTTCTTGTGGATTGATGCGACCGTAAAGCTGTTTCTAGGTTCAAATTCTTAGTTTTTATGTTACTGCTTATCTCTCTAGCTAACAAAGGTTGTAACTTTACTGATTGGATTATTAGTTTCCATACCCAAACTGTTGAACATCAGTTTATGTGAACATCAGAGTGATAGAACATATGTGTTTTGTTTGATAGAAGTAGAGGAGGATGTCGACTCCAGCAAGGAAGAGGTTGATGAGGGATTTCAAGAGGTTACAGCAAGACCCACCTGCTGGAATAAGCGGTGCTCCACAAGACAATAATATCATGCTCTGGAATGCTGTCATATTCGGGTAATTAGTTTTAGTTTCTCCATAAATAGTATTTTTGTGTACTTATTACTCTTCTTGTTTTGTGGATTTGCAGGCCTGATGACACTCCATGGGATGGAGGTAAAGGTTATGTTGCTGTAAATTCACATCTATGGAATCAATCGTTATAATATTTTTTTTTATTATGCATGCTTGATCCTCTTGTTAGGGACTTTTAAACTCTCATTACACTTCTCTGAAGATTATCCTAACAAACCGCCTACAGTTCGGTTTGTGTCACGGATGTTCCATCCAAATAGTAAGTTGTAGAGAAGACTTATCTCTTCTCTTCTCTTCTTCTTGGTTGATGTTTAGCTTTTTGGCTCAAGTTAACGTTATTCTTCTCTACCTGCTTGGAAGTTTATGCAGATGGGAGTATTTGCTTGGACATTCTGCAAAACCAGTGGAGCCCTATTTATGACGCTGCTGCTATTCTTACTTCCATCCAGGTAAATATCAAAATGCCTCCTACCAGCATATCCTTTAATGCCCTTAAAGCTTGAATGGACTTTCTCTTCTTTGTGATTTGCAGTCGTTGCTTTGTGACCCTAATCCAAATTCTCCTGCAAACTCCGAAGCTGCTCGGATGTACAGCGAAAGCAAGCGTGAATACAACAGAAGAGTGCGTGATGTTGTGGAGCAAAGCTGGACTGCTGACTAGTACTTGTTAGTTTTAAGCTCTGTAACTCTCTCCTATTCTCAAAATGTTAACGTTTAAGCAACAAAGCTTTCTTATCTTTTCATTTATGTCCTTTGTGTTTCCTCAACTCTTTTAGTGATTTGATGCTTTGATGGTTCTCTGAAACCTAACATCTTAGTACTAAACCTTCTGAAACTACTGAAAGTTGAGCCACTTTTTCAATCTAAGTAAAATATAATTCTTCTTCATGCTTCTTTTCAATTTAATAAAAGTTTAAAACTTGGTTTCTTATAGTTTCAGAACAAGCTTTTGAATGTTGATGAGAGCATTTACATACTGCTAGAGCAGAGTTTACTGTTCTGGTCTTCTCTTTTCAGTGTAAGATATGTTAAAATCTCTCTTTTTTTTTTCCTTACATAACTTGTCTTGTGCATAGTAGCATCTTTACTAAACTCTTTTTTTTTTCTTTCTATACTCGCAAGTTCGTCTTGCCTTTAAGCGAATCTATCAGACATTTTCCTTTCTTTGTTTCCCTTTGCTGATAGTGTTCTTGAAGAACGGTCTTTGTTCGTAGCTAGCAGAATATACTAAGAGTAGTGCTTTTTGTTTTAGTCTGTTTGACCAAATGTGAAAGTGAACAACAAGATCTTTGTATCTCAAAACATCAGTTGCTTGTCTTGTCTTATTTTATCTGTTTATTTATTTAAGAGCAAGTTTCAGTTTGATTTGATCTGCGAGTACGAGCTTGTTTGATCTTAAAGCTCATGCTTTGAGAAGAGGGAGGAATGTGAGAATTGGTTGTCTAGACTCCAGACCAGAGGAGAGATTGAAAAGCAAGCATGCCTTTCTCTTATGTGACATCACTCCCCCCATTTAGTTTGGTTCGGATTTAGATTCTGTCCGGTTAATTATATAATTGGTTATTTCATGGTCTCTCATCTAGACCTGAGCAAAAAAAAAGGGAAAACGGCTGATTAGTACCTGAACTATGGTTATATTGTCTGATCAATACCCAAACTATTTTACTGTGCGAATTTGTACCTGATCTAATACAAATTTTAAATTTAATACCTGAACTATGGTCATATTGTCTGATCAATACCTACACTATTTCACTGTGCGAATTTGTACCTGCTCTAATAAAAAAATTAAATTTAGTACCTGAACTTATAAAATCTGACTTTTACATACCTACGACTAACAACATGTCGGTATTCTGCTGAGGTGGACCGGTTTCTTGAGGAGTTGACGTTGTTTCAAAAAAAAATATAAAAAATAAACAAAAAAAGAAAGATAACTTGATTCTAACCTGGATCCCAAACATAAACATAATAATGACAATAACCGTTTATGCTAGAAAAGATTCGTCGTTTTGTTGTACCAAAACAACTATATAACCTTTGCGTGGTGTCTCTGTTCCTCACAACCATGCCTCAAATGATTCTTTTTAAATCTCTTTTTCTTTTGAATCTCATTCATCAAATCTCATATAATCATTTTTTTTAATCTCGTTTCATCAAATCTCATCAATTTTTTTCATCACAACAACGATTAATTATACGAGATTTGATGAATCATTTAAGACATGGTGGTGACAAACAACGATTAATTATATGAAATTTGATGAATCATTTGAGACAGGGTGGTGATAGATAGAGACACCATTCAAAGGTCATTTGGATTTTATCCAGCATAAGCGGTTAGTGAAATTATTATGAATATGTTCGGAAACACGGGTTCGAACCAAGGCGGCCTCATTTTCGTTTTTTTTTTTTGAAACAACGCCAACTCATCAAGAAACCGGTCAACCCCAGCATAATACCAACACGTTGTCAGTTGCAAGTATGTAAAAGTCGATTTTTACAAGTTCAGGTATCAAATTCAATTTTTTTATTAGATCATGTACAAATTCGCACAATGAAGTAGCTTGGGTACTGATAAGACAATATGACTATACTTCAGGTACTAAATACAAAATTTTTATTAGATGAGGTACAAATTCGCACAGTAGAATAGTTTAGGTATTGATCAGACAATATGACCATAGTTCAGGTACTAATCGGCCGTTTTCCCCAAAAAAAAAAGTGTAGTTGAAGATTGAACCGAAATCAAACTGAAATACCCGAAATCGGAATCAGATCGGAAATAATCAAACTAAACCAAAAACCGAATGGATACCTAAATATATAAAAATAATAATTATACCAGTAGAAATTTATGTTTTTTCTAAATAAGTATGTAATCTTATAGCAAAAAGGAAATCATAATTTGAGACTTATAAAAGGAAATCATAATTTGAGACTGTTATAAATACAAATCTAAAGATTGTAAATAAGTATATATTTCTATAGAAAAAGGGAAATCAGATTTTGAAGTTATTATAAATACAGATATAAGATCATAAGATTATTCATTCACAATTTCACATCCTAATAATTAAGAAACCTTAAACTGGTATTTCTTTAGATTTCTTTGTTAATTCGCTTTTGGTTACAACAATTAGAGAGAGAGGATGGTGACGCAAGCAAGGAAGAGGCTGATGAGGGATCTCAAGAGCTTGCAGAAAGACCCACCTGCTGGAGTAAACGCTGCTCCACAAGACGATAATATCATGCGCTGGAACGCTTTCATATTCGGGTAAACAGAACAAGCACACCATAAGATACTGGTTTTAGTCTCTCCATAAAATATTTGTTTTGTGTACTTATTACCTTTCTTGTTTTGTGGGCTTGCAGGCCTGATGACTCCCCATGGGATGGAGGTAAGCTTTATCTTGCTACGATCACGTCACTTGAGATCAATTGTTAATAGTGGTTTTTCTTATTGCTCTTGGTTGATCCTCTTGACAGGTACTTTCAAACTCTCACTGCAGTTCTCTGAAGATTATCCAAGTAAACCTCCAAGAGTTCGTTTTGTGTCACGGATGTTCCATCCAAATAGTAAGTCATAGAGAAAAAAAAAATCTCTTTTATTCCCCTTTGGTTGATTAATAGCTTTTCGCTCAAGTTAACGTTATTCTTGTCTACCTGTTTTGCAGTTTATGCAGATGGGAGTATTTGCGTGGACATTCTGGAAAACCAGTGGACCCCTGTATATGAAGTTGCGTCTATACTTATCTCCATCCAGGTATATATCTAAATGCTTCCTACCTGCATCTTTTAATGCCCTTAAGAGCTTGAAATGACTCTCTCTTCTTTGTTATTTTGCAGTCGTTGCTCTGTGACCCTAATCTATATCCTTCTGCAAACCCGGAAGCCGCTCGGATGTACAGCGAATGCAAGCGTGAGTATAACAGAAGAGTGCGTGAGGTTGTGGAGCAAAGCTGGACTGTTGACTAGTAACTAGTTAGTTTTAAGCTCTGTTAACTCTCTCCTACTCTCAAAATGTAACGTTTATGCAACAAGCTTTCTTATCTTTTCATTCATGTCTTTGATGGTTCTGTGAAGCCTAACATCCTTAAAAACATCTTTGTACCAAACTTTCTGAATCACTCACATTCTTTCGTATATATGTATTACGATTGTTTTGGACATCACTGCTTCCACTAAAGATCGTTATCAAAGTTTTTTTTTTTTTATAAATGTGATATTATATATTCACATAAGAATACGATTATGATCAGTTCGTAGGTGTAGTCACATCACTGCCTTGAGCTACGGCTACCAAGGTCAGATGCAGCCTTAGCCGCCCGCTCCAACGCACCAGATAGCCAGAGAGCTCCGCTGGAGAAGTAACTGCTATTGACAACACTAGTTGCAGCTGCTGCCGCGGTTCTTCCTGTGGCAGAGACAGCTGATTTCGCTTTGTCTGAAACCTGGTACTTCTGGTCGGTTAATCTGACAGCTTCAACTCCGGCAAAGATTTTGTCAGTGAGACCGATCCTCTGGTCTAGTTGAGATACTCTAGCTACTGCTGCAGCTGATACACCGTGGGATTCGTCAAAGCCTTTAGCTTTGGCTAAAGCGTCTTTGCCTAGCACGAATCCGGTGGCTAGCATTGATTTCACCACTTCTTGTGCTTTTGTCACTGCTTCTCCGGCGTTGAACTCGCCTCGTTGAGGATGTGGCTACATGAGAGTAACCAAACACAAAATCATCTTTAATCAAACTTTTCATCAACATGAAGACTATAGTAAACATAAGTGAATTGTGATCCAGTGGATTGTAGAAAGATCAAAGTAAGAGAGGTTCATACATGTGAGTTTGTGTCATCTACAAAACCCCGCTGAGTCGCGTTCCAGAAGTCAAACTCCTCGTGATGCTGTCCCCAACGAGTTATGCAAACTCGCTGCTCCAATATTGTTGCGCCCTGAAGTTAATTCCAAAGATTCGAGTGATGCTCCTCAAACACAAAAGTGAATCAAATCTAAACAACACTTACACTGAGTAAGACTGCAGTTTCCTGAGAATAAGAATCCTTGAACATCACATAAGCAGTGCAAGCTTGCTCACCCGACCTTATCTCATTAACATAACATAATTTTATCAAGAAAATTCAGAGACAAAAAAAGCAATGTGTGATATATCAAATTTTGGTGGAAGAAAGACTCACCTAACAATATCAATATGTTCGACAGCACCAGAGAAGGAGAAGAAATCGATGAGATCTTTCTCAGTAACAGCTGGAGATAATCCAGTAACTTCCACACCAAATCCATTTAGATGATCCATCTCGTTCAGTAAAGCTTAAAAAATAATCAAGAATCTCTACAGTATCCTGCAAAAAACAATAACAACTTCGTTTCTCAGAAAACAAAATCCCTAAAAAATTCAGTATAACAAGGCTAAGATATAGATTGATCATCTTCAGTACGTATCGAACTTCGGAAACTAAGACGCATGATCTCTACTACGCTTATCATCTTCCCGATTTCTACCGCATAACGATTTAGCTTTTACATGATAAGATAATTCCAATCCAAACTAGTTGAAATTTGCATCGAGAAATATCAGATCGTTTGATTTTGACATATTATTACTATAGATCTAGAGAAGAGCTTCGAAAAAAGTTGAAGGATCGAAGTTACCTGCTGTTGACTAACTCGGACTCAGAGAAAGGTTGAAAGAGAGACGACAATGAGTGGGGAGAGAGTAGACAGAGGGGAGAAGATCAGGTACTGAGGAGAAGCCGATCGTTTGTCAACGGGAATGAAACCGCGACGCTGATCAACGCCGAGAACCGTCGTCCGATGCTACTGCTAGTATGAAACAGACGCGATTTTGAACTGTATAGATACGTCGTTACTAACTAGCGCAAGGCTAATGGGCCTTTAGTAAAGGCCCTTTAACTGTAGGCCCAATACACTTTTAAGTTTATTTCCCAGTCCAGCGTAAGCAAAGAAGTCAAACAGTTAATAATATTCACAAACTTTAGTTAACATTTTATTATGTAAAAATAACTTTTGGTGATATTAATCTTTTTTTATGACCATCTGCATTTGGGATTCATATTATTGTATAAGATATAGCTTAAATAGTGAAAAAATCACCAAAATAAAAGACATTCCAGCTTGTTTGACAATATTTTGTTTTCAAATAATTTGATTTCACTTGTTTTGTAGAAAGTGATAGACAAAGGTTTGGCAACGAGAACTCAGAGCCAATAACAAAACTTGGAAAGGAAGGTAACTGGCCAAACATATAAAGAAGACGATGTCATTTCAAAAATATTCAGAATACTGAATGTGTCCAACTAAAACTTGTGTCCAAAAATACTGTAAGATAATACTTTCAAGGATAAAAAAGTATCAGACTAGATATAATTCAGCTCTGAAACTTCAATAGGTGGCTGGCAAAAATGCACTTCCAGGCTGACGGTTAGCCAAAGGTCCATGGCATGAAAGGAACTGCAAAAATGAACCAGAACATTGTCAAACTCAACAAACCAAAGACGTTACAAATAATACAAGAACCAAAGTTATGATAATATAAACGAGATACCTTAGCATTAACACCATCAGGAACAACACGCTTCTCTTGCCTCAACTTCGTAAACTCTGCTCTGTTAAACTTAGTGAATCCCCTAAACAAAAGCAACAAACATGATGAGAGTTTGTAAAAGGATTTGATTCTCAAAAACTAATAATGAAATGATTAAATACCATTTCCTGCTGACGATAATCTTTTGACGACCAGGAAACTTAAACTTAGCCCTCCTCAAAGCCTCTTGAGCATGATGACCATGAGCATCCTTACACCTCACAGACAAAAGCACCTGACCAATCGCAACCCTAGCACAAGTACCCAAAGCCTTTCCAAAAGCACCTCTCATACCAGTCTGAAGCCTATCAGCTCCAGCACACGAAAGCATCTTATTAATCCTCAGAACATGGAAAGGGTGAACCCTAATCCTCAGATGGAAAGCATCTTTTCCCGCGGATTTCACCATGTACTTGTTGCAAGCGATACGCGCAGCCTCGAGCGCTTCGCTTGAGACGTTCTCCTTCTCCCATGATACGAGGTGGACGCAGAAAGGGAACTCGTCTACACCTTTCTTCTTCATTCCGACATCGTAGATCCTGATTTTGGGGTCGGGGACACCACGACAGTAGCGAGATTTTGGGTAGGGTTTGCCCTTGATCTGACGGTAACACCTAGCTGGTCCTATAATGATTCAGATAAAAACATAGTTTAAATGAATGAATCTACTCCCATTAGGAAAATTACGACAGAACATAACTAATCTAATCTACAAGAGAAAAGCTAAACATGAACAAACGAGAGACATAGAGAAACTTACTTCTTCCCATGGCGTCTCTCCTTCCCTCCTCGGTCTGAAAACGCGGCAGCACAACAGAAAATGTAATCAATTTATACGTGTGATATTTGCTAGGTCAACTAAAAGGTTCTCAATTTGGGCTTTTCTAGAAAGCCCATATGACATATAAATGAGGTTTGTTACGGCCCATATAACTTCCTAGGGGTAAACCTTTATTACCAGTTCCACGAGGTAGCCAACCAATAACTCCACACATGAACAGATAACAGAGAGACTAATCATATCTTTACCATTTTCATTACATTATTTTATCAACAATACTGTATACATTAGCACACATTAAAATCAAAAAACCAGTTGGCGCCTTTGTTCCCTGACCATTCCTTTTAAGCCACGTGGAAATGTCAGAACAATCAGGTCCCACCTAAATATCGAAAATAGAAAGTTCATATTACAGATCGTCGAAGAAAAAGAGAGGAAGAGGAAAAGAAAAAAAAAAACACGGAGCGAAGAAGAAGATTCTGTAATCTCTTCTTCGTGTAGTTTAGCTTCAAATTATCAAAGAGTGATGCGATTTTCTTCATACGGTGTTTGAGGACATATATATATATAGAGAGAGAGAGACTAGAGATGATGATGATGGGTTTTGCGATATCAGATGAGTTTCTGGGAACGTTCGTGCCGATTTTAGTGTATTGGGTGTATTCAGGGATGTACATTTGCTTAGGATCTATGGAGAGATATAGGTTGCATTCCAAGGTAGACGAGGACGAGAAGAATCTCGTTACCAAATCTGCTGTCGTCAAGGGCGTTCTTCTTCAACAGACTTTACAAGCCATCATCTCCGTTATTCTCTTCAAGGTATCTTTCTCTCTTTAATCTGAAAGTCTTTGACTTTCTATTGTACTTTTGTTGATGAACATGTCTAAAAATCTATGTTAATGATCTGTTGTGTGGGTAGTGAGAGCATAGGGCGATGAGAATGAGGTAGGGATCTATGTTTTTGGAAGCTGGTGTGTATTGAAATGAAGGATCTTTGTTTGTTCTGAAGCTGTTGTTGTAAGTGATTTTAGGATGTAACATTGTCTGATGAATCAAGACTCAGATCACAGCTGGTTTAGATAGTTAGTTTTTCAACATCTTTTGTCCAATTGGCTACCTTATGTTCATCATTCACATGTGCAAAGTTTGCTTCTTTTTCGATGTAGACCATTAGAGTGTTAATTCTTGGACTTTTTATACTATTCGTGTGTTCTGAGTGATGTTTCTCTGTAATGGAAGAAACTTTTTGAGGTTTATAGTTCTCATGTTATGGTACACGCTAGATGTTTTATTGGTTGAAGCTTATCATTTTGTTTTTTTCTTTCTTTTAGATAACAGGAAGTGATGAAGCAGATGCTGCTAAGACGCAACACTTCTCCCTTCTACTTCTCGCTAGGCAGCTCATCATCGCCATGCTAGTAATCGACACATGGCAATACTTCATACATCGCTACATGCACCTTAACAAGTTCTTATACAAACACATCCACTCTCAACACCATCGCCTCATTGTCCCCTATTCATACGGAGCTTTATACAACCATCCATTAGAAGGTCTTCTTTTAGACACTATCGGTGGTGCTTTGTCTTTCCTCTTCTCTGGTATGTCCCCAAGAACAGCCATCTTTTTCTTCTCCTTCGCAACCATCAAGACTGTTGATGATCACTGTGGACTTTGGCTTCCTGGAAATCCATTTCACATCTTCTTCAGTAATAACTCTGCTTACCATGATGTTCATCATCAGCTCTATGGGAGCAAATACAATTTCTCGCAGCCGTTCTTTGTCATGTGGGATAGGATTCTTGGGACTTATTTGCCTTATTCGCTTGAGAAAAGAGACAATGGAGGATTTGAAACACGGCCGATCAAAGTATCTAAAGATGAGTAACTTTTCTTTTTTCTTTTGGAGATTCTTATCACTGCTACGTTACTTGATTGTTTGATTGCTAGAGAACTACTGTGATCTCTGTGTACTTTGTAACTGTGTATATACAATTGCAGTCTCTTCTTTGCGATCTGCGGGGATAATGTTTCTGTGTAAGCTAGCAGTGAACTCATTTTGTAATAGTCATATTCTCTATGCTATGCTTAGAATTTGTGAGTTTAGATCTGTTAAGAGTCTCATTTATTAGTCAACCACATACACATATACGCACACACAGTCATTGCTTCATGCTATTGTTGTGCAATTATTGATATTAGTGGGCCTTGGAATGAAAAGGATACAATCCATTGTTAGTTTAGAACAAGGTTGATGTTTTCTTGACCAATCTAGTTTCATCTATGTTTCTAAAATATGATATTAAGTACCTTACTGATTCAATGTATTGGTTTTTAAGATCAAATGTTTGTTTCTTGATTAGAACAAGCTGGTGAGATCTGAATCTTGAATGTGAACTTTGAGCTGTATTACAATCAGAATTACAAATTAGAAAGCAGGAGGGATGTATTTGTTTATTACACATGGAGTTGGTCGTTGAAGAGTTTGGGCCTCTAATGACCTAAATGGGCTTTTAAGCCGATATTTTTACGGGTTTTATTTTTACCCGACTCATCTAGTCGGACCTTATCCTCTTCCTCACACTAATAATAGGACTCTGGTTGCTTTGGTCGGAAACAAAAAACAAACTATTCAATCAAACAGTTCAGATGGTTTCGCAGATAGTCTCGTGTTTATCTAACTCTTCATCTCCTTTCTGCATCTCCGGTTCCAGGAGTTTAATTCCGCTGAAGACATATAACTGTGCCGGTTTGAACCGGTTTTCTCCGGGATTTGCTAACCGCCGGTTATCTACGGTTAGTAGAAGGAAATGGAGACCCGCGAGCATTTTCAACTCTGGGAAAGAACCTGGAGGAGACGGAAAGGTAGCACTTTCTTTGACACTTCGTGTCTGATTTCCCGGCAAAAGTTCTAACGGTTTTTTTTTTTTTTAAAAAGATGTTATAAAAGTTTGGTTCATTTATTAGTTACAAGGAGGAGGTAGGTCTGATTGGGCGATACTTGAGAGATGGGAAGTTCCATGGGAGTGGCAGACAGTTTCGTTAACTTCTTTTGCTTGTGTATTAAGGTACTCTCTGTTCTCTAGGTCACTAAAAAGCATTTACCTTGTGACGAATTATTGTTGATTTTTTTTTTTAATGAAACATAGAAATTGCATTAGGACTAAAATAATGTGATGGTTGAGTTGAGTATATTGATCTGAAAGATAGTCTCTCTGTTTTTGGTCAATTCATTTAACTAGTATAAAATGTAAGGAGTGAGATTAATATTTTGTTCCCAGGCAGTTTTGTTTTGACAGGATTAACTGAGATGGCAGCCTTACCATATTTAGGAATCGACGTTGAAAAGCTTAGCTTGGACGAGAAGGCTGAGATTTTATTCCTTGATCAAGGGTACAAACTACTACTCTTTTGTGTCTTCTAGCTACATAGCCTCAGTTTTAGCTCTTACTCACTATGAAGAGTCTGAGTTGTTAACTTATTGAAATGCTTAATCTTAATTAACTTTGATCTTAAATACTTTTGCAGCATAACAACTGCAGTGATACTTGCTGTCATATTCACCGTTGCCAAAACCTTCGAGCCACTTCCTGATGACATTTTCCGCTATGGTACTTGTTTTCTTTTCCCTTTTTTTTTTTTTTTTTTTTTAT